AGAATAGAGTGCCCAGCAGAGTGCGCGGCCCGTGTGGTAGGTATCGCTGCTGTCCGCCGCCGACCAATCGCGTTGCGGTAATGAGAGCGTGTGGACCGTGTACAGGAGGCTGGGCGGGGCCGGGCTGCTTGATTATTACGTTTGGTGCGGATTGAAATGTCAGGCGGTGGTTGCGGCTGCGCCCGCCGTGCCGTGCCTGGCCGTGCCGTGCCTGCCGTACCTTACCGCGCCACACCGTGCCGTGCCACGCCGTGCCACGCCGCCGCGGTCCGGGACTTTGGAGCCAAAGGCAGCGCAGCTCGGGGCAGCAGCGGCGGCGGCGGCGTCGGCGCGACGTGAATGGCTCCGTGATGAGGACATTGTGCTTCCATTCCCCTCCAGTAGCCTTATGGCGCTTTGATTCGGCTACACTGCGAAAAAAAGAAAGAAGGGGACGCGCGGGCCGCAGCAGCCGTCCGAGGCGTGTGCGGCGTTGTCAAATTTAAAGACATTTTATTAAAAATATTAAAATCTACTGTCCGAAACACTTTTAAGCCCTAGAAATTAGTTTTACTTTCCGGTTTCAAACGTCGGCTATTTTACTTTTTATTTGAAAACAGAAATGCATTAGCTTAGTCTTTTCTTTGTACACACTAAATGGCGAGGGAAACTTTTGCACGTAGGTTAGATGTGTCTTTGTGCACATCCAAACCAGATACAAATTTGTATAGTTACATACAAAATACACCATTTGACCTATCCTTGGTTACAATTTGTACCTCCGCGTACATTCAAATTTTTATCTGATGAGAATGTTCTTAAATACATGCATCTAACCTGGGTACAAAAAATTGTCCCTCCCCATGTAGAGTGTAGTGCACGAAACGAAACCTCAGCTGCAGAATTAACGAGATTGTACGCTATAAAGAGAAACCATATCGAAATTGGAGGGATATCACGCCACACAATACAAGTTGCCGATACCAGAAGTGAAATGTTGACGCAACGGGGAAAAGGCTTATCGGGGGGAGCTGTCAGTGTATCGAGCCGGCAGGGCCAGCAGGGCCGACAGGGCGGTCAGCGGCTCGGGTGTCCGTCTCGTTCGGCGCGGCGACTGATCTCGTTTCTGATCGTGGCCTCATTCAGCGATAATTTAATTATAATTATTGCTGTCGCTGCGGGACGATATGCTAGGAGAATGGGGTATTACTATCGAAAGCTCGATAGTGATATATGTGATATTAATAGTGGTAATCATCACAAAAATGAAGGAATTTCGGGTTCGAGTTTACGATATCGAGATCTCTCCCTCGCTGTGGTGTCAGTTGATAAACATGTATATTTGTCACATTTCTCAAAGTTTTTCTTTTTCGTCCGAACCACTGCCGCCGCTCCGATCTGCTCTCCCATCGAGCGGGGAGCCTTAGAATATCCCGCACCCCCAACAGGCGGCAAGGAATATTTTTCATCCCCCAACCCAACCCCACCTCTCTCTCTCTCTCTCTCTCTCTCTCTCTCTCTCTCTCTCTCTCTCTCTCTCTCTCTCTCTGGTATCATTGAAGTAAAATGTGTGTGGACCATCAATCTCTGCCCAGCGGGGGAGTGGGACGGGACTGGGCCCGCCTCGGCCCGGGATTGGCCGCGGCTGTGTGGATCGCGACCAATCCCGCCGTTGCAGTTGGCGCGGGGGGGCTCAACCTGCTCGCCGACTGTCACTGCGCTGCCAAATCTTGGCGGAGAAATCTCAATCTTTCAGACGGGGAAGATATTCGTGGGACTTTGCCGCGACGGCAGTATATGGTTTTCTGGGGGTTTCCCCCGATCTGAAAGGATATGTCTCCAGTTTGACCAAAACTCAGTTTGAAATTTCCCATCACAAAGCGTCGCGCGCGACGCGCACAGCGGCTCGACGCTCGACGTTTTCCTACGACTGCACTTTCAATTTTTCATCATCCCCTAAACTTTAGGGTCCTCCGTGCGGCCGCGCGCGCGCGCGCTGTGCTCGGCATGACTGGCAGAGCGTTCGAAAACAACGCCGTCTGACAGCAAGATCAATGATGGAAGGCGCTGGCCTGATCCGAATCCCCGGGGACAGCCCTGGAGCCGCTGGTGGCTGGAGTCTGGCTGGAGCGGCCGCCTGGAGCTCAGCTCCCTCCGGGGTCTCACTCGCGCCTTGGGGCCGCTCTTTGCGTCTCTTTGGGGCTTTGATAAGCCCCGACTCTAATGACATTTCTGTCAAAATATGATGAATAGCGCGTTATTACCTGGGGGGGGGGGGGAGGGCTTTACCCAGAACGTTCAAGGGAGGCGGGCGCAAGGGGACTTCCCTGGAGGATGTGGCTGTGTGCGTGTGTGATTTGTGTGCGTCCGACTAGCGTGTGCGTGTGTCTGTGTGTTTGTGATGTTTGTGTGTTTGGGAAAAGGCGTCCCGTCTCGGTCCACGAGAATCCTTTGTGAACTAAATTTCCTGGCTGGATGCGGCATCAGCAAGCAAGGCTGAGGTAGTCTTGTCTCGCAACTCGTGAAAGGGCGAGGGTAAATAGGTTAATAAAATAATATAAACTATGTACATACCCTAAACCAACTTATAAAGTGCCGTACAAGTTTGTAATCGATCAAAGCTCATCAAAATTTAAAATAGAAAGAGACAGTGAAGATGAAGCACACATCCCCCTGATGAGACAGCCTATAGCTTTCAAACACTTTCTTTCAGTTAGTAAATCTGCTATATTAAATTTAATTAAATATTCAGCTTTTCTTGGAAGGGGGATAAAACACATGTTAGCTGTTTGTTTTCTGGTGCCAAACAAACAGGGGCCAGAGTCTCGGGGTGTGATAGCAAGCTCCAGTGGGCATGTGTTCTCCTCTGCGCTCCTTCCCGTGAGGAAATATTTACCTGGGTCAACGCTGTTTGTGGCCTATTGGCTTATTAGCCAAAGGGAGATGTTTGAGGATCCCGTTCCCGTCCAGTCACCTAGTTGAGGCTGGTCTGCCCGATGTTGTGGTGTCATGCCTTGCCTCGCCGTGCCATGCACCGTCATGACAACTTGGCAGAGTTTTGAGGGAAACCCTTTGGCTAACAGGTGGCCTAGACGCATGCTAGACGTGTTGGCGTGGTTGTGGGGCAGAGCCGGGCAGAGCGTTGACCCGGGGCGCCCCTGTGCTGTAGGCAGGTCGCCGTTTAGTTAGGCCCGGCGGCTGGGGTGAGTGCCAAAAGCAGTGCAAACAGCATTGCTCTGCTGTAGGGGGGTACGAGACGAGGAGGTACTTCTCTCGTTCGATCTCGCAAGTGTGCGCTTCATCTCCAGAATTGGGTTTATAGCTCTGCCTAATGCTCCCAGACTTTAATTGGAGGGAATTACAATTTAAAATGACGACATATGGAACCTTTCCTTTTAGTTCAAGAAAACGATTCCTGAACATAAGGAAATATTCCTTCAGTTATTCGGGGAAATTTCTTCGAATTCTAGTAAAAGTTTGTCCTCTAATTTCCGCGAATCAAAGAAACAGCTCCCTGCTAGTGGATTTCAAACCATTAGCAGGCTTCCACTATATGTTCTCTCAGTATGTCCACTCTGATACTAATACTCAACAATCCGTGGATATTGCCATTTTTAGTTATTTATTTTTTTAGTAGAAGAAACACTGAGTGAAGTGTCGTGCTCGAAATGAGTCAGACAATTTTGCCTCGCTTAAGCAGGGCGAAGACTATAATGCTCACCCTTTTGGAGTCATATGCACTGAATTCTCACTCTGGAGGAGTAAGATTTCCCTGACCTCGCCCAATTGCAGTTAGGAACCTCACTCTTATTGGATGAGAACCTCAAATTACGACTCAAATTGAGTGACCAAGTAAGACCTCGCTCCCAGGACAGTGAGATTATTTGTGTCAGTGATCTCACCCTTCTGAGAGTAAGATATCTGACCCTTGCATTTTCGGTTGAGATAATGAAAAATTAAAACGCTCTTAAAACATCACCTGAGATTG